CGGTGCCCAACAACAAAATGAAATTCGAAATGCCCACCGACAAAATACGAAAATTCCAGAAATATTTAGGTTTACCATATCTAGTGCATCAAAGTAGGGTTACCAAGATTGCGCAATTATCGCCAACCAAAATAATTCGCGCCAAGGGTGTGGGCTCTGCTAGGACTAAACCGGCAGATTCAATTCAGTTGAATGAACTAGAAGTATAAATGATTTTTTAAGAAAGATATCAGTCTGAACAATATTTTTCGTATCTCAGCATGTGATCACTCCCGGATGTTTGTATGGACTGTTTAGGTAGACTAAGCAGAAACATGAACCTAGTTGTCAAATGCGATCTTCATAATAGATAACAATGCCAATGCTCGCCGTTCTATACTTACAGCTCGCATCGTATTTGCTGGTTAATTGTATCAATTCACAAAGTGTATCCATTAAAAAAATCCTCAAAATTTTGATAGAATTACATTTTTTGTTACCTGAGGCCTTTTTTGAAATCAGAGCACACCTTAATACATAAAAAATTCCAAGATCATATTTTGTATTTTACAAAAACTTTAATCTTTCCTGGACTGTTTTACTGAATGCGTTGGTAATTTAAGGAGTAATCTTTCAATTTCACACACACAACTCTATTAGTTCACTCTCTCCCTATATATATATATATATATATATTGTTCAAATTTTCAATCGTTAATAAAATACTTTCTATTCATCCTTTCAAGTTCAATTCATATTTCATACTTGTGCTGGATGACACTTGATGTGTGAATACATTTTTTCAAATATTTTAATTCATTTATTAAATTAAAAAATTAATAAATAGTAAAAAAACAAAAATAATAGTCCAACAACACATATAGAAAGGAAACGAGTTCGTTGTGTCCCTGTTGTGCAATGGATAGCGCGTTGGTCTACGAATTCCACCTGGGATGGCATAATTTCTGAGACTGTGATTTGTTTTTACTATACATTTTTTTATACATACATATTCAGTAACTATAAAAATTGGCCAATATATCATTATTTTTTTTCATAAATTAGACAAATAGTGTTAGACTTCTAATATAAAAACATCGTGGGTTCGAATCCCACCAGGAATGGTCGAATATCTGCAGATTTAATATCATTTAAACATATCTACTTTATTAGCAAAAGTATGAATACTTATCACATTACCTAATGAGTGAAGGCAATCCATGTGTCAATGTAGAGCAGTGGATATAGTGCGTTGGACTTCTAATCCAAAGGGCGTGGGGTCGAAACCCACCAAGGATGGTCGAACATATGCGCATTTAATTTCTTTTAAACATTTCAACTTTATTATCAAGAGTATGAATACTTGTCACATTACCTAATGTGTAAACGTAATCATTGCGTCCCTGTAGCGCAGTGTATTGCGCGTTGGACTTCTAATTCCAAGGTCGTGCGTTCAAATCCCACCAGGGATGTTCAAATATCTGCAGATTTAAATTTTTAAACATTTCTACTTTATTAGCAAGAGTATGAATACTTGTCACTTTACCTAATGAGTGAAGTCAATCCATGTATCAATGTAGCGCAGCGGATAGCGCATTGGACTTCTAGACCAATGGTCGTAGGTTCAAATGCCCCAAGGGATGGTCCAATAACTGCGGATTTATTTCCTTTTACGCCCGTATTCACCGCTAACCTAACCCAGCGATGAAACTTGGAGTTAAGTAACCGGCAATCAAGTTAAAATTATCCCCAGGTTAGAACTTCAATTCACCACTGTTTTTCAACCTCCAGTTACTTGACTCTGCGTTTCTTAACCTGCGCTTACTGGTCGATTCCCATTGGTCGAAATAAACCCCGTGACTTCCGGCTTTCTATATTCGCCTCATGCCAGCTTGTTTTTTACCTCGCGTATCGCTAACTTTTTAATATGAATGCCAACAGAGTTTATTTTACGCAATATGAAAAAGAATTGGTGTTGGCTTTGATAAAGCCGCACTTACACATAATAGAATGCCGGGAAACAAATGCTGTTAGTAGCATAAAAAAAAAATGAAGCGTATATTGAAATAACGCGGCAATACAATGACACTGACGGAGTGGTGAATCCGCGCGGACATCACAACAGATCCGTCAGTGTTATTTAAATTTAAAAAAGAAAATGAGCAAAAAAAGTAGTGTTTTGCTCTCTAATTTATCTTCAATTAGCAGAGTCAATTCTTCGACACTTTCTTTTGTCAGTCGGAATCTTCTCTGAAACTCGTAATCGTCCAATTCCTCGAACAAATTACTTCTTTTAACTACTTTTCTGACTTTTCTGGTTTCCAGTCTTTCTAAAAAATCTACCTGAGGTACAGTGGAAACTTTCTGAATGGTATTCATCGTAAACTAAAAATCTATCCTAACTCAAACTACTTCCAAAACTTGAACGAAAACGTAAACACTCGAAAAATCGCTTACTGCGCGTGTGCGGTGAAAACTAACCCGGCTGTAGCTCTGGGTCAGGATTTTTTAACCTGAGCCGGCGCTAAGTTATTAACTTGCGATGGTGAATAACGTTTTCGGCGAAACCCAGGTTTCCCGCCTCTAACTGGAGGTTAGGTTAGCGGTGAATACGGGCGTTAAACATTCCTACATTATTAGCAAAATTATGAACACTTGTCACATTACCTAATGTACGAAGGCAATCCGCGCCTTTCTGTAAAACAGTGGATAACGCGTTGGTCTTTTAATCCAAAGGTCGAGGGTTTGAATCCCACTAGGGATGATCGAATATCTGTGAGGATTTAATTTCTTTTAAAAATTTCAGCTGGAATTCTAATCTAAAGGTCGATTATATGCGGATTTAAGTTCTCTTAAACACATGTCTAATTTATTAGCAAGATTATGAATACTTGTCACATTACCTAATGAGTGAAAACAATGCACGCGTTTCTGTAAAGCAGTGGATAGCGCGTTGAGGTTCTAATCCAAAGGTCGTGGGTTCGAATCCCACTAGAGTTGTTCGAATGTCTGCGGATTTATTTTCTTTTAAACATTTCTGCTTTATTAGAGAATATGAATACTTGTCACATTACCTAATGATTGAAAGCAGTCAATACGTCCCAGCAGCGCAGATGATAGCGCATTTTACAGCTAATTCAAAGGTCATGGATTCGAATTCCAACAGGGATGGTCGAATATCTGTGGATTTAATTTATTTTAAACATCTCTCCCCAACACACCATCACCACCACCACGAATCGGAGCCTATCTAAGCTGGACTCTCCTCTCTAGCCACACTCTTTTCCGCTGTAAGTGATAGAAAAAAAAAGGTGGAATTCCTTCTAATCCCGATAGAAGCAGGAAAATGAAACATGAATTATTAATAGAAAATAGGCTGGGAGAGAATTTATACATAAATATTAAACTGGAAAAGTAATTGTGAAAGGATAAATTCTTAGAGAACTAAACAAATTGTATAATTATCATGAACGGTCCTGCATTGAATTAAAGAATAAAAAGCTATTTTTGTAATTAACTTGATGCAACACTGGGCTTCTAAGAAATTGCATGCAATGACAAAAGTAAGCACCCGTCATCTAGAGGTATTATGTGATAGAAATCTGATTAAATCCCTTTTAAAGGGTTTTTACCTTAGTTTTGTTCAGTGGTGTAACGTACACCCTCGCATTTCGGGTGCCCCAGTGATTATAGGGGGCTCAAATCCTGACTGACTCCAAGTACATATTACGGCTTGGGATCCAAAAGCTAACTTTCCCAGGGCCCTAATATACTCCGTTACGCCACTGCCTAGATTCCTCTCTTTCAAATCATCTACTTGTCTTACTATTCCTTTAATTAAGTTATTACAAGGATAGAATTAAGTCTTGTTAAATTACAGATACCAATTTTAGAAGAATTTGTGAGTGGATTAATTTGACTTTCCAAATTATGTTGATCATTGCAAATTATTGAAGATCCTTTAAGAAGAATAATTTACTCTCAATATGTGAATCTCGAAGTTGACATTAGTTTAACAAGCATTTATTTACCTATCGAAGTATTTTATGGATATATTTTTGAGTAAACTAACCAGCAAAATTTCATAACTTTTAAACCTAATCTCTTCAAATTACTGAACATTAAAAAAGATAAAGAATCTTTAACCTGATTTTTTTTAAAATTCAAATATTGTCCTTTTTTTATTATCTGCCCTTAAAACTAGCAGAAAAATCTAAATAATTTATTCTGGAGAATAAATAAAGACAAATTTTTAACATAAGTTGAAAGATGTTTTTCGATCTAAATCTGAGCATTTAAATGATGGAAAATTATTTTAGTGCCGCATTTTTAATATAAAAGACGCAGTTGGAAATCCATTTTGAAGAGATTTAAGTATATTTGTTTTGAAGCTTTACAGCCTACACATGAGAGAGAGAGAGTAAAGTCACTGTGGAAACGGAATGCTCCAGAGTGACGTCAAAAGAGACAAAATTAAGGAACTGAATGTGCCTTAAACTGTTCGAGTCAATTCGCACAATCAAAATGACTTTGGAAGAATGAGGGACTTGCAGCGTTGATTTCATTCCATCGTCACAAATGCTTCAATATAGTTCAGATATTTATAAAAAAAAAGACACAGCAGATCACGATGGTTAGCAGGAAAAATTTGAATGTATTTTAAATGAATTAAATATTTAAAGTAGTTTAACGTAATTTTACAAAATTAAAAAAAAAATTATATTAATGAATTGCAAGTGAAAGTCGATTCCCTACTTTTTGCTACTTTTTTCCCTTCACGCTACTTTGCTGCTTACGTTTCTGACAACACTGGTCACATTACCTAATAAGTGAAGGCAGTCCATGCGTCCCTGTAGCGCAGTGGATAGGGCGGTGAACTTCAAATCCAAAAGTCGTGGGTTGGAATCCCACCAGAGATGGTAGAATATCAACGGATTTATTTTCTTTTAAACATCTCTATACTTTATTAGAAAGAGTATGAATACTTGTCACATTACATAATCAGTGAAATCAACCAATGAGTCCCTGTAGAAAAGAGGATATCGCGTTGGACTTCTAATCCAAAGGTCGTGGGTTCGAATCCCACCAGGGATAATAAAATATAAGTGCATTTATTTTATTTAAACATTACTACTTTATTAGCAAGAGGATGAATAATTGTCACATTACATAATGAGTGAAATTAGAATTTGCCTTCCTGTAGCGCAGTGGATGGTGTGTTGGACTTCTAATCCAAAGGTCGTGGGTGCGAACCCCCAGGGATGATCAAATAACTGTGCATTTGTTCTTTTAAATATTACATTTTTATTAGCAAGAGGATGAATACTTGTCACATTACCTAATGAGTGAAATTACTCATTGCGTAGCTGTAGCGCAGTGGATAGCGCGTTGGACTTCTATTGCAGAGGTCGTGGGCTCAAATCCCACCAGGGATGATGAAAAATCTGTGCATTTATTTTTTTTAAAACATTACTTTACTTTATTAGAAGGACGATGAATACTCTCATATTACCTAAAGAGTGAAACTTATCATTGCGTACCAGTAGCGCATTGGATAACGCGTTGGACAAAAGTCGTGGGTTCGAATCCCCCCAAGGATGATCAAATATCTGTGCATTTAATTGTTTGAAAGCATTTCTAATTTATGTACGTGTCACATTATATACATGTCACATTACAAAATGAGTAAAATTAGACATTGCGTCCTTGTAGCGCAGTGGATAGTGAATTGGACTTCTAATCCAAAGGTCCGGGGTTCGAATTCCACCAGGAATGATGAAATATCTGTGCTTTTGTTTTTTTTAAACATTACTACTTTATTAGCAAGAGGATGAATACCTGTCACATTACATAAAGTGTGAAATTTATCATTGCTTCCCTGTAACGCAGTGGATAGCGTGTTGCACTTCTAATCCAAAGGTCGTGGGTTCAAATCCCTCAGGGATAATCAAATATCTGTGCATTTATTTTTTTAAAAAATTTCTAATTTATTAGCAAGAGGATGAATACCTGTCACATTACCTAATAAGTGAATTTTGTCCTTGCGTCCCTGTAGCGCAGTGGATAGCGCGTTGCACTTCTAATCCAAAGGTCGTGGGTTGGAATCCCACCAGGGATGATCTAATTTCTGTGCATTTATTTTTTTTAAACATTGCTACTTTATTAGCAAGAGGATGAATACTTTTCACATTACCTAATTAGTGAAACTACTCATTGCTTCCCTATAGCGCAATGGATAGAGCGTTGGACTTCTAAATCAAAGGTCGTGGGTTCGAAT